CAAAAAGTTATAACTTACAATCAATGGAAAATGCATCTTGCTATTACTTTTCGAAACTAACTGCTGCTTCTTAGAATCTGCTAGTTTTTATAGCCATTCCACCACTTCAAATACTCAAGTAAGAATTTATATTGATAGATTATGTGTATTAAATTTCAAGGTCTAAACATCTTAGGAGTGCCTGACATCTTAACATTTATTTAATGCCAATGCTAAGATCATTGCATAACAAAAGTGTATTATGAACATAATAATTATAATTATAAACACAATAATTTATAAATATTCTTTTATTGATTAATATACACACAAAATCAACATATAAATAAAAATTTCTTTCAGGAGCTTTTATCTTTCAACAGACTCTATAGGTATTACATTGCAACCCAGAAGACCATTACCAATCCATGGACGTGGAATTAAAGTCAAGGCTATGATATTAGATCCGCGTTTGAGTTTTATATTTATTGTTTTATATCTGCTATTTTGTACCAGAGTTCCGATATCCTTTAATGATTTAAAATTCCGACAATCGATAGAACCAAATTCTAAGATAAGATCATCAACTTGGATTCCCTATATAATTTAATATTCAATGAATCATAGATGTATAAGTTTATGAACATTATAAAAAAATAAAATTAATTTTTTACCGCTATATCTGCTGGAGAACCTGGTGATACTAAATTCACTTTTAAGAAAGGATCCAACTGTACATTATCTTGAATAACAGTTGTAGTTGGAGATGGACTTTCTGTTTGGTTTCTTGCTAGAGCATGCACTTTGTGTAAACCTTCTTCTATTTTATTCATCAATGCTTTGTGATCATTTCTGAGACCTAGTCACTTAATAATGTACTAATAAGTTCAAGTTAGTAAAATCTTATGCGAGAAAATTGCGTAGTAACTAAACGCACATATTATCTTATGTCTCACATGTCTCACTTGGTAAACATCAATATCATTTCGTGGATATCCTTCGCAGTCCACCAATGAATCTTCCATGCCAACATGATTCTACAATTCATACCAATATATAATCATTCCTTCGAAAATTTGACAAATCATTCTAGTATAAAATATATTATATTTATTTCCGATAATATTGTCAAACAGATATTCTGTGCAAATTAATATATCAATCTACATACAATATCTAAGATTTCTTTTAATGCCTCCAAATCCGATTCAATTTTATCTTTGTCTTTCATAAGCTGAAGAACATAATCCTTAGCTTCCTGTAACTCCATGTCGACCACCATTTTCACTAGACTGACGTATGCAGTAAATCATCAGGTACGTAACTTCGAAATGATAACATGAGTAATCATTTTTAAATTCTCAATATATTTTCAAAATTTTACTTTTATAAAACAAAAGCTAACATGTCAGACTTTCGTTTTCTAAACATTAAAAAAAATATTGTGTAATATTGAAACATTGTAATTAATATATTTCTATATACATAAATATTTTATAAATTTTATAAATATTATATATATTATATTATAAATATATAATATATACGCATTATATACGCATTTAAGACATCTGTAATTTTAAAAATAAGGCTTTCAAGTATCGCGCTTCGTAAACAACTGTTTGTTTGCCTTGTGGAATGATAGAAAGCATATCTTGTATATCAAAAGGTTGTTCTACTACTGTTACCACATCTCTTCCGTAAACTAAAAAGAAAAAAATATTTTAACAACTTTTAATAACTATGTTTAAATATTTTAATAACTATATTATTTATAAAAAAATAAAAAATACCTTCGCAATGTTCCAAAAATTGTATACACTCCTGGAGAGTAGTATCTTTTAAAACTACTAATTGTTTAGCCAATTGTTCTAAAAGAGAAAGAAAACATCTTTTCGCATAAAACCAAGTATCTGTTCCTAATTTTTTATTATAAGGTTCCAAACTTTTCATTACTCTGGATATACCAAATTCGTAATTTCCTTTGGAACAATATAATGTTCCAATTACTAAATTTACGATACATAAATGAAATAATTTTTTTTCTTGATCTTCTCGTGATACTACTTGTTCTTCTTTTTCTATCTTCTTCATTAATCCTTCAGCTTCTGCATTTTGCGATGTCATAATATAACTTACACATAAATTAGCAAGTACTATAGCGCTTACATCTAAAATCTAAAAATTTTGATTATATTTAATAATTTATATATTAACATATACATATTGCAAAAAAAAACTAACATTATCATATTTTTTTCTAACAATTGGCTCGTAAAATCCTGTTGCTTCCTTAAATTTATTTTCTTGCATGAAAAGAGTGTGAGCTACATTTAATTTCCATATATCATGTTCATTGCAAAATTCAACACTTTTTCTAAAAATTTTCTCAACTTGCGTATAATTTCCAAGTTCCCAATAAATTTTAGCTTGTGCCATTAGAACTGGAACATATCTTTCCAAAGCTTCTTCATAATCATTTACAGCTTTTTTTACAGCACCATCATCATGATTTAATCGTGCTTCCTGAACTCTTTTTGTTGCTTTTCGCAAAATCTCCATATGTTTGTTACCGAGATCGTCAAATTTGCGATATGCTTCCTCTGGTGAAGTTTGTTGTGTAATTAACGCATCCAGAAAATCATATAAATACTGGGAAATAAATATCATTATGATTATAATGAAATTCTTCATACTATTCATTTTTAATCCTAATAAGTTTATATTGAATGCAAAAGTACGATTTTTATTTTTTGTTCTCTGCACCCTATATTAATTTTCTTGCTACAGTCCTGCATTTAGCATCATACGCAAACCTAACCTCAAGTCAAATTCAATTGACACTTGTTTATTATTGTTGCTTCTTGCCTAGATACATTTATAAGAATGGCTACTTGCAAATTAAATCAAATATTTCTTGGAGAAGTTGCATCTGTTCAAAACTATGGAGCTTTTATCAGAATTCCAGGATGTTCTGCTCAGGGATTAATACATAAATCACAGGTATGGAAACAATACAATCACAATAAATTACTTATTTATGTTCTACGATAAAATGATATAATTTGTATTTTTATATATTTTATATAATTTTATAATTTCTTTAGGTAAGCTCTGCTCATGTGGATAATGTTATAGAAGTTTTGCAGAAAGGAGAACGTATATGGTGTAAAGTTATTTCTATTGGAGATGATGGCAAAATAGGATTATCTATGAAGTATGTAAATCAAGGAAATGGTACAGATTTAGATCCAAATGGAGTACAATTACAAAGAGATATACAAAAGAAAAAATTTATGGAAAAACACGAAAATAAAACTATTCACTTAGAAGCAGTCCTTAATACTACATGTACAAAATGTGGTACTGCTGGACATTTATCTAAAGAATGTTTTATGAGTCCTGATGGAAAAAAGTATGAATTAATCCCAGAAATTGAAGAAAAAGAAGAAGTTATTCAAGCACAAACTAATATAAGCAAGAAAGAGAAAAAACACAAACAAAAGAAATTGAAAAAGAAAAAGAAAACTAAAAAAATCAAACAAGATACATTTGATAGTGATTCTAATGAAAAAGATATAATTAAAAACAAAAAGAAGAAATATTCTAAAGATCAAAGAAAGAAAAAGAAAAAATATAAGAGTTCTTCTAGTGATAAAAGTTCTAGTGATAGCTTTTCTAGTCATGACGTGAAAGCTCATAAACGAAAGTATACAGAAAGTTCGGAAAAACGAACCAAAAAGTGTAAATATTCAAAAACTAAATCTGAATGAAAACGTGAAAATTATAATTCAACTATAATTTTTGTTCTGTCTTCATATATTTTTTAATTATTGAAGCATTTAAAATAGATTACTTGTGAGAGCTACATTTATAAATATCTACATGTAGCAATAAAGATAATACTTACTGGTGTTAAATATTTATAAGTCAAGTGTACATTTTCAGCAAGAACATCAGCTACTAAATCATAATATTGATATTTGCAATATAATAGTAATAAATTTGCAAAAGTTTCAGGTGGAAATGGATTTTGTTGTAATAAAAATTGAAGCTTTTCAAATCCCTCACTAGGCTTTGTATCCATATTTATTAAAGCTTGATTATGCAAAGTAACTGCATCAAGCTCTTCTTCAGATCTAGGGGGCATATCTGTTAATGCTTCTTTTGCTGATTCATCTAAAAATAGCAAATAAAGAGTGTGAAATATTATTACATGTAATTAGATGTATCGTAAAAAAACTAAATTCATAAAAAATCATTACAATTTTGTAACTGGTATTCTATGGCTGCTTTCAAGTTAAATGCTTCTGTCAGAGCTGTTTCATGAAGTGTTAATGTATTTCCAACACTGCGTACTTCTATACCTTCTGTTGTCATACCCACTCCTAATTCTGGATGTTCCCTTATTCCTTGTTCTATAATATCAGCTAATATATACATAAAATGCGTCAATATAAAATATTATTTTAAAGTAATTTTATTTATGAATTTAATACTTAATAACAATGTAAATTTTACCAATATGTTTTAATGACGCCGCATATTCTTTTAATTTAAAGTAACAAAGTGCTACATTATATGATAAATGAGGTTTGAAGCCTACAATTTGCAATGCATTTGCAAACTTTTTTAAAGCTTGTTCATATTGTTCCTCCTAAGTAAGAAAATAGTATAAATTGTTGCATAAACAGAAAGTTTACATTTCTTTAATATCTTTCATACCTTGTATAGAAGACACCCTAAATTAATTTCTGTATCAACATCATCTGCTGGACATTGGTCAACAAGATTTTTTGCAGCAACGACATCTTCTTGACCATATTTTATTGCTGCCTGTAGTTTTTTTACTTTAAATTCTAAATTGCTTTGATTAATGATGTTGGAACATATTGTCCAAGCCTCTTGATACATACATGCTTGGTGCAAAGATTGAGCATGATATAACTTATATATACTTTCATTGGGACATAATTGAACTAACTTCTCATAACATTGTGCAGAAGCTATGAAATCTTGTGTATAAAAATAACAGTGAGCAAGAAGAGACAAACAAGGTCTAGACTGTGAAATAATTTATTATTATTAAACATTGATATTGATAAAGAAGTTGAATTCAATGTAGTAATACATACAGTGGGATAAAAATCTAAAAGAATAATTAAAACTTTTATTGTTTCTGAATATCGTTGTTCTTTGATCTGAAAAATTGATTTCTATGTTACATATACTATTTAAATATTAATATATTTCCAGTAAAATAAATTTTTAAACTATTTTTAAATTGATTGAAGAAATAATAGAATTTTTTATACGCAAGTGAAATGTACCATTGAATAAATAGTTTTTGTATATTCTCCATCTTTAATGTGCACATTTGGTATAAAAGTAGTCATTTTTTTAAAATAATTTTTTCACTCACAAAAGTCAAATTGTTTTTGTACTACAAAATTTTAATAATTCAACTATGATGTATACAGTATGTAATGTTATGATACAAAAGGAATGTCGTAACTATGGAAACAATTGCTTTTTCATAAGAAAAACAAAGATATTTAATACTATATATTTTAAAAATTAAAGTTTAAGAAATACCACGTCTGTCAAACATGATTTTTTTATAATAAATAAACATTTATAAAAATTTGCTATTTCGAAAGCATTTTATTACATTTTATATATACATTGAATTTATATAACATTATGTTAATCACAAAAAAAATACACCATATATATTTTTTTCGTATATTTTTCATATATTTTTTTCGTAATTCATGCTTAATATAAAATGTCACTAAAAATGACAGCGTATTTCACTTCTCATTTGCATTTAACTCAGTTCATATTTTATATCAAATAATGAATTGAATAACAGATTTTCATTCTTTGCAATATCTATATGTCAATGATGTGCATCGTGTATAAAAGAACGGTTTAAAATAAGACGTGCGCTTTTAAAGATTGTTTCTGTAAATTACAAAATATTCTTGATTGCAAAAACATAACTACAAAGTGGCGCTCTCTTAAGGACGACCAAGATAGTAAATATGTCTAACTTTTAAATGAATTTTCAAAGAAAAAACTCGACACAGTGCGATTTGACATATCAATGCACGAGTATACACATGCACGATCTCTTACACAAGTAGTAAAAACTAAGAAACATTAAGCATCGGTGTTTCGATCGTCGTTTCACCAATGGGTGTTTTGCAGATCTGACGTATATGTAGTATGTAAACTAAAGACGATCGTACATATAAGCAATGCGGAGTCTCGATAGCGCGCTAGTATCGTACGCAGATCGAGTGCGTGTGTGACTTCTCTCGTTGGAGAAATGTCGTCGGCACTCGTGGCCGCTAAATAAACGACGAAACATGTCCGGACCGATAGTCAGTCGTGCGCAGACACCCGGCGGTGATGTTCAAATAGGTGTAACTTTGGGTTGTGTTATTTGTAATAGGACTGACAAGCTGTTAAGGTGTTCACGGTGCAAGGCCGTCTTTTATTGTACCAAAGAACATCAAAGGCGGGATTGGAAACGTCACAAAGAATTTTGTGCGACTCATTCCGTGGAATCGATCGTATCGGATACTGTTTCGGCTGCTAGTCAAAATTCTATTCTGAAATCCACTAAAAAAGATTCTTCCGTAAGGAACTGCCAGAATTCAATTGTACCAGTGGTTTCTAACCTAAGCGAGAAGTCGGTATTAGAAACAACGCGAGGATCGAACACTGCTCCAGAAGTGTATAATGACGGGAAACGTCTTGGAGGTATATGAAACATGATCTTGTTTTCCTTGTGCTTTTTCACAAAACTGTTAAAATTGTATGGTTGTAACCAAACAAACAAATAAATATTTTATTTTACAAAGAAAACAATAGCTTTTTACTAGTTTGATAATTTATTATTTACTATGAACTGTATAACTTTCTTTACAAGATAAATATAATTTCTTTGTCTCGTTTATTTTAAGTAATCTTTGTACGATTCTATTGCTTATAGGAACCAACAAACAGATAGAAAAGATAAAAGGACAATCAGATCGTAAGGAAAGTCAAAATTCCAAAAGAAAATCCAATAACACCAAGACAAAAGGTACTCGTACAAATAGAGTAGATGGATGGACTTCTCCCATAACCTATGAAGGAAGTTCTGAAGACACGATCTTAGGTGCCAGAACAGAATCATTGAATCCTGCCTTAGAAGGTTCAAGAATCCTAGATAAGTTACAAAACAATGAATTAGATATGCCAATACAACATCATAACGGTATGAAGAACTTTCCAGAGATTCGTTTAACTCGTGAAGAAGAATTTCTACCACCTTTCCTTCATAAAAATAAAAATAACCTTGAAGAATTAATAGACGATATAAGCAAAAATGTGATTAGAGACATGGATGAATATGGTATGTGTGTGGTAGACAATTTTCTAGGGACCGAAAAGGGTCTTGCAGTGTTAAACGAAGTTTTAAATATGTATAGTGCTGGATTATTTAAGGATGGACAGTTGGTTTCTAATAAAGCAGGTGCAAATGATTTAAAGACAATTCGTGGTGATCAAATAACGTGGCTTGATGGAAAAGAAAAACAATGTCAAAATATTGGAATGCTTATATCTCAAGTCGATGCCGTCATTATGAGGGCAAATAAAATGTGCAACAATGGGAAAATGGGGAACTACATGATCAATGGAAGGACAAAGGTAAGAATAAATGATTTCATCAGCAATAGATGCATATTCAATATCATATAATTAATTGTATTTATTTTAATTTATTTAATTCATGGTTTGTGTCAAATAAATTGACTGTTAAAGTTCATGTTTATATTATTTGAACAATAAGTAGTAAATTTGAGATATATATTAATATTTGTAAATATATAAATATGTTCTTCTAAATCACTATACATTAGAGTTTATATTGTATTTCTATATTTTGACAAGCAATATCGTTTTTTATTTCTAAATTAATTTCAGAAACATTGGAAATATTTTCTTGGGCAAGATTTTTATTTTATTTTATTTATTTAACATGATAAATTTATTTAATGCCTAATTATACATAAAACATAAACATTCATCGAATGTATAACTGAATAGTTATTGATTTAAAATAAACTTTGGCAATAAAATCTTATTTTAAAGATAACATACAATTACATAGACCTTGAATATTAAATGTTTAAACAAATCGCTTATGTTTTAGTTTTAATCTTCTATATAATTGTTACAATTTATGATTTTTGCAAAACAATTACATATTTTACTTATTATTGTAAAAAATATATAGTTATTGTAAAAATATATAGCTATTACAGCATACTGTATTGTGTAAAAAAGAGTATTTAAGAAATTATATTTACATAGTTATATATTGTTAGGTGACAGTACATTAAAAATGTTCGTTAATTTCAAAAACTGTCAAACGAAATTCCAATTATAGTTCGTGATTGAATAGTAATTTTTTGATTATCGAAAGAACAATGCATATGCAGAAATATTAGTAACACAAACCAAAAAGTGATCTGTTATTTCGCGTAATAGCTATTAGAGTAAGTGATCTGTTATTTCGCGTAATAGTAATAGAATTAGTCATTAAAATACAAGCATGCCATATTTCCTGATTTGTTGAAAAACTCCAAAGGACAATATCGACAATACACATTCGCTGTATTGGGGGAAAAAAAAATCTTTCGCGTCCCTCGAAGCAACGGTGTTTAATCTCGTAGGTGGACGAGAGAGAGAATAAGCGATGGCAAGCAGAGAAGGTCAGGATCCCGAAATTGCACCGATCTTTCGGGTGGCTCGTATGCTAAACGAAGAACTGAAACGAGAGTAGCTACGCGCGAAGTGCAGTCGGTCACGTACGCCGCACGGCTGACTCGTTATCTCTTTCTCCTTGTCTTTCACCGGCTCTCCCTTTTGTCTCTTATGCCAGAAAGTAGACAGTATGTAAACGTTCCCGATTACGCATCCTGTTTCCCGTAAACAGACTCTAAACTATGTGCGAATGAGTGAAACGATATGATATTATAAAGCAAATCCAGTATGTAGTAGCAATGGTCAGTTACGGCTGACAAACAGCTTTTGCGAATACTTTATATAATATGTAACAATCAATTCGAATCGAAATGTTCGATTATGTGTGCATTTGATCATTTACTAGTCGAAGAATACAAAGTTATTTACTTATCATTTATTCGATTCCACGAAAGAAACGAAATTGTAAAATTAAATTTCGTGTGATCGTTGGATATGAAGATTTTAAGGTTATCTCAATTTGTTTTTTCTTCTATATAATTCTAAAGTAAATTAATCTTGTTTTAAAATAAATTTACCGAACTGACTTGATATTCACGTATTTTTGAATAATTCTTTAAATATTATTACAAACTTTGGTGATACATTTGTTCTTTTCTCAGTATATAACAGCGGTTCTCATTTCTTTTTAATGATCTTCCGTAATGTATAGATATTTTGCATAATATTACGAGTATCGCTATTGTAAGTTAATTTATCATTAATATATATAATAGTGTTTCATAATAAGTTGTTTGAAAGTACATATTATTGAATTCAATGCATTTGATATTAAATATTATTTCAATATTAGATGTTGCAAACATATATAATTATATTAAATTAAAATAGGAAAAATAAAGAAAGAAGTAAAAATGAGAAATGAACATGATTCTAAAATTGTTACAAACTAAGAGTCTGAAAAAAAAAGTTTTCGATTCTAAAGTCTTCGCAATTGATTCCCCTTCCAAAGAAACAAGCGAATGTGTATTTTTAAACTAAACATATCGCGCTGTTCTGTCACTGCTTCCATTTATAGTTCGTAAGAAAATATTCAGTACACTTCGAATTCTTTTGTTGTCCCGCGCCAAATCCTCCATCTAATTGGAACACCCAATTAGCAGTATGTTCACGCAATATCGTTTGGTTAAAAATTTCATTTTCCTTTTCGTCTCTTGATTTTAAAAAGCGCGCGTTCTCTTTTACCGACGCACTGCATTTATTTAATTAGCAAAGTTGAAATTACCAAAAATTATATTGTGATAAAGTAAAATGAATAAAAGGGAAATATTTAGTAGCTCGTTAAATGATCCTGTTTTTAAAAATAAAACAGCGTAGAAGAAAAAATTTTTTTAAATTGAAAATAAAAATATTTTTATATATAAAACTCTCCATAGCATTTTAGTTATGTTACTATCGCTTAGTTATTATTTCCAATTTTAATTATTATTAACTTCTCGTTCACGCGTATAAAATGGAAAACAATAGCTATTCGTGTTGTATTCTGACCAGGTAAATGGAAAACACATGATGATATAATATTAAAATTCGTTGAAACGTATTATAAAAGACTGCTATCAATATTACACTAGCATAACGAGAAAGCTGGCACATCGTCTTGGAGAATTTCATCGTTGGATAATTATGTATGGTTAAAATTACGTGATGTTGCGTAACGAAATTTAGTATCAATACGATTTTACTGTCAGTTTTTCTCCATCTTATGAGAATAGTTTTATTTTTTTTAAACGTATAAAAATGCTCAAAGGTTTCGCTGAATTATCAAAGTAGCCTAACGCTTTTTTTTGAATATGATATTAAAATCTATTTTGTCTAATAATAGTCTTTTTGTTGACAATAATCAACATATTCGCGTCAGGCCGTTCACTTTCGATTAAATCCTTACAACCAGCTGGCTACATCTCGCTCTTTAACCTTCGTGAAGGTGAAAGAATCGACGAGGTACAACATACGTATACATACATATGCATTTGCGCATATAGTTAGATGGTTGAGAACGTGCCAATCGTGTTTGAGGACAATTTCATTCGTCTTCGTAGTGGCGTTTCCACGAGGATATTTACCGCTGCTTGTTGATTTTTTGATCGGTCCGACATATATATCTTTCATATGATTTGTAAAATAATTATAATTACAACATTTTACAGTATTATCTTTATATTTCAAATTATCACATTACAGTATAAATACATACAGTATAAATATTTAAAAAATACAAATATATAAATGCGTAAATATATAAGTAGATGCATACATTTTCATTCAGATTCATTTAGAATCCATTGAAATAGATGATTTGAAATTGTTTGATTTTATGGTACAACATCATTGCGAGATGTGGACTATTTTCTTTTACTGAAAATAGGAAATTTTAAATCAGATTAAATAGATATAAAGATGCGAATAAGCTTGAGTTTTGAAATTACAATATTGATTACTGATTACTAATTAAAATATATTTTAGCGACAAAATTTACTTCATTATATAATTATTTTTTTCCATACACGTACAGATAAAATCTGTGAATACACGTTCCAAAAATAAGAAAAAAAAAATTATATTTCGTAGGAAAGCGCCAATTTCTATTGCCAAGAAAAACATAATGAACATTGAGTTTTATGATAATAAATTCTAATATATTGTGATAATAAATTCTAATATATTGAGGATGAACATTTTTAATTTATTATACATGACTCACATGCGTGCGCATTACAATGAGAGAAACATGAAGTAAATTTAGCATAGATAACAGTATAGTTTTCCTCATTCAATGTACGATATATCCCAAACTATGTACTTTGCCGAAGTACCTTTTTAGTATGTTCGCAACAACAACGCAACAACAAAACCACTTTTGATAAACAATTATATATAATAGTTAGACTTCTATATATAATATATATATAATAGTTAGTTGCACGAAGTCTAACTATTATATATATATATATATATTATATATAAGACTATTATATATAGTTAGACTTCGTGCAATTATCGAAGGCAAAATGTATATATTACATATTATATATAATGTATATATACTACATATGTATATATTATATAGAATTATATGGTTCGAATCGAAGAGTAACAAGCATGTGTGTTTTTCTTTCGACGAAACACGTGCAATAATATTAGCAAAGCGGTTTTTCCCTGAAAACATAGCACTTGATTGTTTCATTTGTTTTTCCTTCCTCCTTCGGTTCGTTGCTAATTGTTGCCGATTAATTGCATTACAGTTGCACTATAGTTGTCAAGATTCGTAGAGTTACAATGAATATTCCTTTCGACGAAACGAGATTTGAAATAATTCTTGGACGTTGTTCAAATACTAAAAATCCGATTGTGACGTGGTTGTTGTATATCGATGCGAAACTGATGCGAATTTAGAAAACGATTGGACGTGGTTTTGCTTCTTTCTGAATTGTCACGTCTACTCCAAAGCCTTGCTTTAATATTCATGATGTCCAACAACGATTCCGAAGAAAGTCGTTGAGAATTACCTCTCGTAGATTACGTATAACTCAAATGAAGTTCATTTGCAAATAAAGTGAGAACTTGTTAAAATTTAGATTATTAAAAATTATCAAAAATATTCGAATATGATCGATATTGTGCATTGCGTTACATACTGAGTGGACGTAATACTTCCTGATAATAACTCGAACTTAATCATATGTTTCAGACACGAATATAACTGTCAGTCATAAATTACATAACAAATATGCAAAATAATTTTTTCCTTCATTAAACCAAATTTTGTTAACTTTTTCTTAACAAGACAATGAACACAAAAAAGCACATAAAAAAGGATAAATGAGTCTAACATCTAAGATAGTAAAATTTAGTTTAATTTATTTGTTTTACGCAGTATGTAAAATTTCACTCATATTTCACGTTTTACATAGAAAGGGGATCATTACAAAGTACGAAAAAAATATTTAAAAATCCAAAAAAAAAAAAAAAAAAAAATACAAATTTTTAGTTCTTTACGTCGAACTGGACTGAATAGTCCATTTCGTTCGATTTCCCTCAGTGTTATAAATGAAATTATAAAGATAAACAAAAAATGTATCTAAATTTCGAACCTTTTCGAATATAAGTTATTAATCATAAACTATATAGAACAGAATAAAAAAAAAAAAAGATCGAATACTTCACAGACTATAAAAGATTATTCTCAACTAGCCGCACGAAAGTATATTTTTTCGGTTTTTCTTGATATTTATACCAAACGAAAGATCGCACACCGTCATTCGACTTCTGATTTAACAAACACGTATCGAGCGATACTGTTTTCACGTCAAGAATTCACACATTTGTGTCTCGACTGTTCGTAGTCTGGTGATTTCGTTGATTCTTCATATCGCGGTGGCGTATTTTTGGCAGGTTGTATTTCTTATCGAAGAACGTGACGAACTGCACGTAAAGTGTAAGATATCAAAGGTTTTGTCTCGCTGGTGCAGCCTATCTATATCATATCAGTCGATGTCTGTTAATAAATTCAATTATCTGCAAAGATAAAAAAGATTACAAATAAGGTACGTGCGCATTCTTTTAAGCGCTGTACAC